GAGAATTATAATAAATAATAATTAACTAGAGTTTTGAAGAAATAAAAGATTGATTAAGTAAAATATTTACCCTTGCATAACAGCTTCTTCGTTATCATAGCCTTCGGCAACATTTTCACCACCAGTAGAATAACTGTAGCCATGTTTTGTAAATCTAGTACCCATATCTCCAGCTTCATCGTCATGGGTAAGCGTACTAATGCTTGACATATAGTTGCTATGATCTGTAGCTACTCCACAAAGGGCACTATGATTTAAATATTCATATAAATAATAAAGATTATATAGCATATAGCAACAATTTTAGACTTAATAATAAATATTTTTTAATAAAATTACAATAAATTAAAATTTTAAAACATACCTATTGAGAGTAAGAGGACTGGCGCCTCCTTGTTGACGCGCAGCATTGACTAACTTAAGCATTTTTTCATTGTCCACCTTTTGAGCGGATATGATGTTAAAAATCATCAATGCGACAACTAAGAACGGAATGGATGGTTTCATCTTGCACGGTATTTGAATATTACTTTGAACGGGGAAAAAATATTTCAAAGTTTCGGATTAAATGGTAAGGATTTCGCGGGGGAGGGGTTTGTGGAAATCCGGTAAAGAAAGTGCAAATATCAAAAACAGTAGATAGGACTAATTCACGACAATTTGGGAAAACGAGGTATTTATATATAAACAAAAATTGTCCTTATATCGCCGTGAAAACCCGGTTTTTTTGTCTTACTAAAATTAATACAGATTTAATTTGTGATATTATTTAATAATTTTGTTAATTTTGTGGAATGTCAAGAGATTAAAAAATAAAGTTTTTGCGGACAGTAAATCTAATTAGCATTAGGACTAGGGTGATTGAATTAGAGCTGTTTTTATATGCAAAATTGTGTCCCCGACATTTTTTGTTAGTACACTAAGACAGGTTTAGACTTTCGTTTGCCATATTTTTCGTATTTTTTAAACTCTTTTTTTATCTGCATAATTCTGCATAATGTTGGCCATACAGAAAATTAGTGACGTTGCTAGTATATGAGTGCGATCAAATTAGAGCCTGTAAGTTTTCATCAGATTGTTCTTAATACAAACCATTATTTTATTGCATAAAGCGATTTATGCACCATATCAATATGTCCAATTAGAAATTAATTTATAATATATGACATGCTTTAACATTAAATGCTTAAGATTTCTTTTTGGAAAGGTATTAAAGAATTCTTTATCTTTGTGATCAAATTACATAGCGAGAGAAATATAAAAAAAAATATTAAATCTAATTATTGTGTTTATTGTGTTTATTGATAATTGACATTACCGAGCTTTTTTTAATTGAATTATTACGTGCCCGTAAGGTAACAATAATAAATAAAGAAAAGTTAATTTACTCAAATATTAATTTGCGTTTAATTTAAAGTATGATATACGTACATGTATGCACATTGTTATACAAATAAAAAAAGTAATCAGTAATACAAATAGTACGTACGCACACGTGCGTGATACGTTGCTTTGTAATTTATAATTTCTTAATTGACACAAGTTATGAATTTACATACGATAACGATAAAGAAAAAAATTAAAAATTAAAAAATTATTTGTCGTTATAAAAATTTTAAGCATTTATACTAGCGCTATATGTTTGATGACTAATATCCTTTGGATTTGATAAATAACAATAACCCGCTAATAATTTGATACATATCCACAATGTAGTGCAGAGGAAATTTATGACATGAATAACTCTTAATTTGCAGTTTGTTATGTTACAACTGCAGCTGTTATCTTTGGCATGATTCAGTTGTTTGTTTTTGAATCATCGAATCGTTTTAGTCATGTGTGAGGATGTTAAACAACCTAACTTAAGTTTTGAACTGAAGTTTCAAACAAAGACTGGCTAGCAAAGTAAGAGACTCAATAAACAGTCTGAAACTTAAGTCCTTTGTGGATTGGTTTTTTTAGTTATGCATATTAGTTCAAGTTAGATTTGCATATTGCACGGTAGCATAAATGTTGCAGTTTTTAAATTTATTAATTATATAAATTAAACTTGCATACGTATAATATGTAAACTTATACAAATATATACTTAAAATTAACACATTCAATATATTATTTATATATTACCGATTAAATTTTTATCTATTGTATAATTTAACAATAATACGTATAATTTACACACGTAGCACTAACTTTGTGGTTTTTTTTTAACAAAAAAATTCTAATCCTAATACATAAGGCTCCAGCCTATGAAACGTCGTCGTTTATTACAGTGTTGCTAGTTATTAGACCAAACTTTAATTAACCCTATTACCATGTTGAATCTTAGCGATGAAATGATAAATTCTGGATTACAGGTTTTTACCTAGTAGTACTGTTTCACTTTTAACCTTTTCCACAAAGTTATATTTATTTGACGTCTTGGCTTTGAATTGATTATTTACGTAGTTGAATCATTTTTTCCGCATTTGGTGAATAATCATGCTTACTGGATTATATGGCATTAAAGTTAGATCAGCGTCTTGATTTTTCACAATTCGATCTGAAACATTGGGGTGCGTGGTGTAATATCGATCGATATGTGGTCATATAATTCAAATTTGTTAATGGATATTTTTTTAGATAACGATCGATAGGTAACAATTTTTTTATTGTTACAAAATTTTAAATAGATGCACAACTCTTACGGTTCGATATTTTGGTTAAAATTTCGCCAAGACCAGTGTTACGTCTCTACAAATAAAGCTATAGAGCTATTCTTTATTTTAACATGAAAAAAATTTTGTTTATCCAAAACTGTCGAACCGTTAGAGCTGTACCTCTATTTGAAATTTTGTAGTAATTATTACGTATAAAATTGTTACCTATCGATCGCTAGCTAAAAAAATATTCGTTAATAAAATTTATTAATGACCATATATAGTTTTGATTTACATAGTACACCGCGCACTCCAATGAAACATTTGCTCTTCAAAGAATTCAATCTTATGTTACTGTCGCTGCAGACTTTTTGAATTAGGCCACACAAATTAAATGCCAATTGCAAATCTATTAAATTAATATAAATTGTCTACACTACGTAGTTACTAAAAAAATAATTAGGGATTGTAATCTAGAACTCTAAAAAAAAAAAAATTAATTGTTTATCATACAAGCAAATAATATATAAAAATTTAATCCAGATTAAATATAATAATAAATCATGTGCTATATATTCTTAAATAAGCATCTTTCTTTTTATAATTTGTTAACTATATACTGCACTTATTTTACTACACTTTTCAAGTTACTGTGGGAGATTTCACACACCACACGAAAATAGGAAATCTAGTAAAGATAAAAATATTGAAAAATTACAAAAACAATAGTTAGATTTTAAGTATTTATCTTTATTTTTATATTAAAAAAATTGCTAAAAATATATTAGAAATTAGAAAAGCATATTATTATAATACATATAATTAGTTTTGTTTAATAAGAAAATAAAAAAATTGTAAATTATTGTTATTTTTTCAAATTTATTTTAGTTTTGTTTTAACTGTTTTATATACAAACTATAACAAGTACTATTAATTATGCTATTACTATTATACTTTTTTTTTAATAGGTTTTGCCAAAGCTTGACCTTTTAGCTTTATTAAAACAATAAAATAATTATTTAAAATAAATACAAAGCCCAACTTTATTCAAATACTATCCTTTAAGCTGTAGAGTTCGTGTAACAATTTTAGCTTAAAAATAGTATAAATTTAGTTATGATTTGTTTTTTTTAATATTTAAAATAATTAAATAAAATTTCATATAATAATATTTGAAAATAAGGATTATCTTTTTATAGTATTTATATTTATATTATAAGAA